GGACGGTGGTTACCGGGAGGACTGCACTCCCGGGCACGGCGTCTCTTAGATTTCCGCTGCCCCGGCCTGCACCCGCATCTCTGTTTCAGTGGAGAGCAAGGGATCTGCCTCCACGCTAAATAAAACTAATGCCTTTCAACGCAGTGGTGGTGTTCACTTAAGACAGTTTATCCATGTGAGCTGTTAACGCCAACGCCTGCTGCAGAGATAGTGAGAGTTTAGGAGCAAACCTGTGCTTTCTGCCTGTACCTTCACGTTTTAACCCAGCAGAATAATAGCGGTGCCTTTCAGACACCAAGGTTTCCCCTGTGCAAGCCTCCAAGGAGCAGTTTTCTCTCGTGTCCCACATGGGCAGCAGCCCTGCCTCAGCCGGTACGTGCAGGCTGCTTGGAGTGATGGGTCTCGAGAAACAGGTGAAAGACTTTGCCTTTCCAAGTGCCTCCCAAATATAGCCTGGCAAGAGGTGGTATCTGGAGGAGGCCATACTGAAGCAGACAGGCTTGGAAACCTGAGAGCTCAACCGACAGTGTTTGGGGTGTCTCTTCCATCTTCCTCAACAGTGAAATGCATTTCCCAGATTTTTACTCTGGATTGGGATTTAAGCCTAAACTTTCCTCACTGCACCACTGATGCTGGAAAAGAAAACAGAACCAAACCAGAAATCTCAGTAGACATCAAGCAAATGTTGTCCTCCTGCTATCCTCCCAGCTCCAATCAGTCTAACCTGTGGCTTATGGGGATTGTAAATGGAGGCAGTTCTTCCCCGCTACTTCCCTGGCCCATGCTCAGCTCTTCCTCCAGGGAAGACTAGATATAATGTCACTCTGGGACCTGTTCACTGAGGACAAAACTCTCCTACAGTCTCTAGTCTTTACTAAGCTGACTGTTTTCCTGTGATCTGCCCTGCCGCTGGGAGCAAAACAGCATGAACTTAAGAGATCACTCCAGGCCCTGGCCTCTGGAGAGACAGTTCTCAGCTGAGGGATGGGTTGTTTTCCATGTCCTATTTGGTGAAATCCCCCAGGGCCTTGAAATTATAGAGCAAAGCAATTATCTTAGCACAATTTATTACAAATGATAGCACAACCTTCAGAACCAACAAAGAACTGTAGAGAAGATCAGGAGAAATGTCTCTGCCAGCTGAGGCGCCACAGTCCAAAACAGCTGTGGTGAAGGACATGAATTTCTGAGCCAAAAAATCATCAGCAAGGTCCCCAGGAAAAACCAGTAAAAATAGTATGTCATGAATGCTGTATGTTTCCTTTTTGAAGTCATAGTTTCTGTTTCTTTCCCTGGAACCCAGCAGGCTGGACATCTGAAAAAAACCACAGCTGAGATTTCTAATGCCTTGATTCCAGAAGCAGAGAATTTAAGAAAATCAGTAAATGCTTTGTCCACAAAAGTGTTGCCAATACTGCCATCGCTTCCCTCCTCAATTTTATAGACCATTTCTCCAGTAAACTTTGACTAGAGTAGTTTAATCAAAGTCATACCTCATTTAAAGTTATTTGAACCAATCTAAACTGTTAAGAGAAGCATCAAGTTTACAAAGAGGACTGGAGCACAGAGATCCTCGGAGTCTCTCTGGTTTTCTGTTGACAAATTGTGTGTCAGTGAGTAAATCTCTGCCTTTTTCTGCCTTGCTGTCAGTCCCTGGTGTAATTTCTATGCATTTTGGGAGGGTGGAGATGCAGAGAGAATCCTGGCGTGCCATGGGATCTATGGAAGGAAGGAGGGACATGATTATGGGTTTATTTAGAGACATGATTGAGTACCAATTTCCTGTGTGGAAAGAAAAGACTGTAACACAAAAAAGCGAGCTTCATATTTTGCACAAATTTGGCCTGGGAGCAGACTAGCAACCTCTCCCAGGTCTGCAATGTAGAAGACCAGCTGGTACTGATGGGAGGAGGGTGACAGGAGGACCCCAAGGGACCTCCCTGCAAAGGCAACCCTGTTGAGGGAGCTGGCAGTTGTTCCCTAGTTAGACAGAAATTCTGCATGTGGCTTTGGGTTCCTTGTTTTGTTCCCCAGGGCTATATTTCTGCATTGGCAACTGCTGAGAGCCTGAGAGGCTCTCTAGATATCTTATTTATTTCTAGACTAAAAGCTAGGGAAATAAGCATGGCTCCTAAATGTGCTTCCAACCTCAAAGCTGGTTAATGGTTCTGGTATCAGGGCTGGGGCTGCAGCCCAACAGCCGGGATGCGAATGCAGCTGACTGCAGTCACTCAGGATTGAACCTGACTGGCTGGTTTTTGTGTCCTGGGCAAAGATCTGGGGGCATAGTCCTTTTCTCATTGGCATTAGGAGAGAAGCCTTCCCCCATCCCAGCCGAGTTAAAAGGGAAATTGAAGAGTTTGTTTTTATTTTCTGAAGTAGATTGCACACACTGACCATGGCATCGGAAAAGGTGAGAGCTTGGAAAGGGTGGAAGCGTGCGGGAAAGCTGCCTCAGTGCTAGAGTTCAGGTAGAGAGAAATTGTCTGCCCTCTTGGCATGCATCTCCAACAGCAGAAGCTCTTCTTGTTTGGAAAGAGGCCTGGCCCAGCCCTGCATGGCTGTAAAAGCTATTTTGTGCCATGCAAATACCCCGTGCAGGTGCTTGGCACAGTCAGTGGGGAATTCGTCTAAAAAGTCTAAGATGGGATAGAAGTTAGCAAGATCTGATAGGGACAAAGAGGGAAGCTTTGTAGGGGATAATTTTAAGGTCACTTGTGCATTGCTGGAAACATCAGGTGGAACTAAATATTCAGAGGGCCAGCATGAAAGGCAGTGATACTACCTGTATGCCCAAAACAGGAACAGTCACTTTCAGAAAGGAGCCCCCCAAACGTTGCTCTCCCCTATCTTACAGTTCCTGAAATGCCTTCTGTTCATGCATTGTTCTCCTTACAATACTCTGGTGTTCCCACCATATAACCACTTTTTCTCTCTCTTCTCAGCCAATACTTTATAGCTATTTCCGAAGTTCCTGCTCTTGGAGAGTGAGAATTGGTAAGATCCAGTGTTGATCTCTCTTTCATTGTCTTGGTGTTATTGCAATATCCTCCCCTCCACTAACCCATTAATCAGTCACTTATTAAGAGAGAGATCAGCAAACATGAATCTGGAACAGTGAGGCATTTCCCAAGTGGGAGGGAAAGGAATACCACAGCTTACCTGGAGCAGGGGGAAGGGAGAGGAACAGACAGGAGGGCTTTGCTCAGCCTGCAGCTAGTTAGAGGGAATTACTCCTTTTGTAAAGCTAACATGATGCAGATGGCTGTTTATTCCACATTATCTAGAAGGGCCCTACACTCTGTTTTTACATGGATACTGCCTCAGACTCTGGTCTGCCCAGGTCTTGAGAGCTAAGCAGGGCTGGGAATGGTCCCTACCTGTACTGAGACAGCCCTAAGCAAGGTTTTGCAGGTGAGCACAGGGGCCCTTGCCCTCTATAAGCCCAATCAGGTGCTGCACACTTGTGCTGCAAAGAGTGGCAAAGCTCATTTTGAAAAATGCAGTGGTTTTGCCAGTATTGATCTTTAATGCTTTGGTCCTTCATTTACCAGAGCAGTATCTTCTGGGTGGACTCAGGCCACCTGTCTTGAGGGACAGGGTCTTTTTGGGTTTTAAAGTCATTCTTTTTTCAAATGGAGACGGTAACAGTTCCCTGAGCCCATTAGCAATGACACTGGTCTCACTGTGCCTGTCTGAAGCTGTCACTCTGCTCTTCCTAGCCCTGGCTCTGAAAGGGATTTCCTATGATCTGGTGCCAGTGAACCTCCTGAAGGAAGGGGGACAGCAGGTAAGGATACAGTTACCATTGCTCTCTCCAGAGATACTGAACTTGGGGATCATTAGGAGAACTGGGATTAGCACTAGAAAGTTGAGAGGCAAAGTCACTGAATTCTTCACCACTGCTCTGTAATTAATAGTTGCTTTCAGCCAATATTCCCTGGCACACAAGACATACGGAGAAGATGACTGCAGGACACTAAAGGGTTTTTCGTCTCTTAAACATCTGTGACTGAATTTCATAAGGCTGAAGATCTTTTGCTCCTGCGTAGCATGATATAACTGAACATATCTGATGCATAGACTTCAGAGAAGCTGCACTGCAATTTAAACACAGACTCAACGTCATTCAATTAGCACCAGAAAGTGTGTGTGTGACAGGGGGTGTGTGTCCAAAGACACTAAATGATACAGCAAGGGGCTGCAAAGGGCCTGCCAAAGGAAGGGGTGGGTTCCCAGAAGAGATCGTCACTGAGAACTTATTTGGGGGGCCATAGCAGGGAGTTGTGCACCTAGTAGTACAACCGGTTCAGACCGAGTTGGAGAACTAGAACAGTACTAGTGATACTGCTGCAGTACCACCCATCCTGGGCTTTGTACAGATTGTTTATCAAGAGGTAAGGCAGTCTGGCCCTGGATACAGTGATCTCTGAGCCCCAGTGAGAGCTTGTGTAGGCTAATAGTACAGCATAACTTACTGCAAATATTAGTACTGAGGTAGAGAGAAAACCCAGGGTAAAAAAAAAATAATAATAATTTGGTA